GAGCGAATAAAAAACAACATTTAGTAAAAAGTATGTGGTTTTTGGAAACCGGTTTTCTAGAAAACCACCGTATAAAGGCCTAAGGACATTTCTCATGCTCATATTCAGAATCAGCATGATTGGCAGCCTCTATCTCAATGATTTTTATTATAAAAGCGATTTGGCAGTTGGGAAGGTTCCTTCGTTAGTTATATAGATCAATTTGTTTTCTATTCGTCACTCTTAATCTCAATATCAATTGGGTCAAAATTAATTTCGTTTAGGCTATTATCTATGTTATCCGGAGATGAAGTGATGAATGAAATTATCCTATCAAACAATTTATAATGTATTGATCATTATATACAACTTCGTTTTAAAGATCTTACTGAATTTATTGTAAAACATCTGGAAAAGCAAACATCTGCATTTATTTGGTTTATTAATCAACATATTTATTCCACACATTAGATCGATTACTGAAAAGCAAAAGTTGGAATTAGCAGATTAATTTATATTTTAGATTATATAAATTAATCTGTTTATCATTGAATTTATGCAGTGCTAAAGCTACCTGAGGACGGTCTTTGAAAAAGATCGAAATCTATGGATAGTGGCATTGTCTTATCATAATACACACCCTCACGAAAATCAATAAATATCAAGCATACAGGTGCACTATTTGACATGAGACTATAAGTCCTCAAGGAATAATAATAAAAGTGTTTAAAGTCGGAAACCATCATGGAAACCAGATTGATCATCTGGTAATAATCCTCTACGTAAAAGAACATTGCGAAATCTAGTCAAGAATAAACGTCCACTAATTTTAAGAAAAGAGTCGATGAGAGATAAATATACCAATGTTTTCATAAACATAATCAGCTAACATTTCAGAACTTGCATCATCAAGTATATTGCTACGAGCACCAATGTTAAATATTCGAGTACGAGTACGAGTACGACTACGTCGGGTATTTTGCCAAGCGTTGCCTCTTTACGACATCCTAGTTTCTGATTAGACTCGAGTAAGTTATCGTCGAATATTTTTAGATGCGGATGTGAAGGCAGAAGTGAAACCATGCCAATATTCTTTGCCTGCGTAAAATACTCAACGGCCTTCGCATGCTCTTCTAAATCGGCGTACAATCTGCCAATATTGTTGAGTGTAAGTGCAAGCGTAGGATAGTTATTAGAATCAACCTCTAATTTAAGTTTCAAGGACTGTTCGTATGCATCTATTGCTTCTTTGTAATTCTTTTGATGTTTGTGTACATATCCAAAACATTATTCTGTTATCACGTACCTTTATTAGGCGGTCCCACTCTCCATTCTGCTAACGTCAAACTTGATCAGAACGTTTTTGAACAACAACTAATTTGATTATAAAAACGTGCAATATACGTTTTGTCTGGTGTTGGTGCATTCAGCTGGAGCTGGAGGGCGTGATGTAAATTCTCCAAAGCAAAGTTATAGTTTTTTAAGTGTATGTGTGCTATCCCTACATTATTATAGATCACTGAAAGCAGTGAAACCGAAGATGGGCAGCTTTTTGACATTGTGTCCAACAGTTTTTCCCAAAAGCTGATTAATTCTTCATGACTTCCATGATTGTTGCACAGGAACAAAAGTTCATTTGTCAAATCTTGTAAAGGTGCATTGAAGTAGGTAGCCGAAAAATGTTGCAGTTGTGGAAGTGTAAACCTCAGCGCCTTCTTATGATCGCCCATTAAAACCATTAAACGCCCTAGATTCAACAATGGTATGGGTGTGTCAACTTCTTTCTTTAACGACTCGAAAACTTTTCGGAACTCTTCATCTTCCTCTCCGGTTAACTTAAGTTTAACAATTTGGACGCCATGTTCGTCTTGCTGATGATTCACCACGCGGAAAACTGCCCCCATGGTAAATAAAACTTCATTTTCGCGGTTCATATTGCTTATGTCTGTGATATCGGCAAATGGTGTACGACACTTTTCTATATCAACTTGAATTTCTAACAAAACAGCTTCCATCCCTTTTGCATCGAGCAGAGGCCTAGCAAAACCCATCGCTTGCTCTCTATTTATAGTGGTCGAAAGAAAACTCTTCATTGACAGATAGCCACCGATATTGTTTTCAATTTGATTGGTAAAATCTTTCTTGGACATGCCAAATCCTCGATAAAGTGGAAGTTCGTCGATGATACATTCATTCAACAGCTCGACGTAAGTTTTGTGACATCCGGCTAACTGAAGGTGTAAATCTTTCAGGAAGAAACCCATTTGGTAAAGTGTGTCTATGTCTTGCTCTCTCAATGCTTTGTTAAGAATCCTGTAGACGAAACTATCAAATGTATACCACCAAACGGCCGATTTGATTTTATGCTCTTGATTAAGAAGTGGGTCTGAGTCTGGAAGGTAGCACTCCTTAAACATTTCAATTTTACGAAGTTCTGCTGAGTTTTCAGCATAGTCAGTTTGTAATTTTTGAATAAACTCAATTTTTGTTTTTTCATCATAATCCATTTGAGTCAAAATACCCTGCAGTAGCTGTGCATACAAGAAACTGGCTTCTTGTCTTTTTTCTTGGCCTGTATTGTTGTTAGGTTTAAAACTGACGATTGGAATGAAGTTTTGAGTGAAACGAGCCATATCCTTCTCTAGCTGTGAATGTAGCTCATGTACATCCGTGAAAATACCCTGAACTTTCGAACATTCCGTGGTCCAACTATCATGAGAGCCTTTGTCCATGCAGAACACATATACAGAATCAATCGATTGACAATCTGCAATATTTTGCACACTGTTTTGCTCCAATGCTCCGGATACGATGAGAAACACTTTTTTCGATGTTATTTCAGTGATGAAATCAAAACATTTGTGAGCGTCGTTAAAAAGCTCAACCTGACTGATAATCGGACGTAACTGTTCAATTGAATGCTGCACATCATCATGCTTTAGATCCAATGTTTCTGTATTAAGCCAGATAACATAGAAATCTTCGTAAGTTGTACGTTGAGAATGTTGATGCGAGTCGAAACTCTCGACACCATCTCCTCAAATAGAAAGTCCGGATTACTGTACAAAAACATCACATAACTTACTGTTAAGCGACATCGTCGTTGATGACTGTCCAAGATCTGCTATTTTAAACCTAACTAGAAATAGAACGTTTAAATAAAGTATAAATTGGAACAAACTCAACGTTTGGTCATGATAAAATCGGGGCGTAGAGAGGCGATAGATGAGATATTTTCCTTGTTTTGGTCTCTGGTCAATAATTATGTACTTCACACATAACAGAAATGAACAAGTTATTTTTTCAGTCGCTAAGAAAAACTCGTCAAAAACTTCTTCGTCAAATAAATATGATTTTGCTTTTAACATGGCAGTGTTTCGAAATTTTCTACCTGGAAAATGACTTAGGTTAATATTTATCTATATGAAAAGCATTCTACCGTCTTAAAACGTTCACTTGCCAAAAACTGTTTGATTTTGTTGGGTAAGGATAGATTAAACCGACCTTTGTTTTTTAAAAGAATATAAGGTTCATCGCATTAAAAAAATAACAACTCATGTTATTTTATACATAGAAAATTTTCAAACAATATCATGTGAAAAGCAATATCATATTCATTGGATGAAGAAGTTCTGAAATGTATTGTTAGGGATTGGAATAATGAATTGTTTGTGACTAATGTGAAACGATACGATCAATGTTACTCTATCAAAAATGAGGGTGTGGGTGTTCCTTTGTTCTTTACAAACACCCACACCCTCAATCTTTTCTT